ATAATATTCAATAAAATTGATACGAAAACAGAAGATATTGTTGTTACAATGGTTTGTTTATTGACTTTGAATAATCAATCATATATATATATATTATTAAAACAAAATCTTTTTTTTTTCTTTTGTCAATAATCTAGGTCGATTGTCTTAGTCGTGTGGGAATGTTTGATGAAGCACAACAAATAATTAATGATTATGAAAAATCAAATTTACCTTCTTTAATTATGTATAGTAAGATAATATAAACAATAGATTAAATTAATAAGATTATTTTTTCTTGAGTTGCATCTGACGTTGTTTCTGTTTTTTTACTTGTAGCAGCGATGTTATCAGGTGCTCGTAATCATCGTCATATTGCTCTTTCACAAAAATTGTACGATCGAATGAAATATTTATTTCCTGATAAAAAAATCCGATATGATTTCTGCTTCGATTCTCTTATCTAATATTTATGCATCATTAGGAGATGATAAACTAGTTCAAGAAATACGAGAAAATCGAATCAAAGAATTCGGTAACAAAGTTAAAGCTGCATTCTCATGGACAGAAGTTAATGGTCAACTTGTGGTAAAGTTTTTCTTTTTGCTTGTTAATGATGAGAATTTTTTGCTTTGTCTATATAAGGGATTCAAAGCTCATGATCGTTCTCATCATCAATCAGATGAAATTTATGCTGAACTTAATCGTCTATCAAATGAACTAAAAGAATACGGTCATGAATATGATTCAAGTTGGATTACTCGTCCACTTGAATATGGTGAAACAATTGAATCAGTATTGTGTGGTCATAGTGAAAAACTTGCTATCGCATTTAATTTTATTCAACATCCTCAACCATCATTAATTCAAATTACAAAAAATCTTCGTGTCTGTGGAGATTGTCGTATGATAAAAAAATAAATATTTTCATATTTTCTTTAATTATGAATTTTTATTTAATCAGATAGTGCCACGAAACTAATTGCTAAGATTCGACAATGTCAAATAATAATACATGATGCCAATCGTATTCATCATTTTCATACGAATGGTTTATGTTCTTGTCAAGATCATTTTTAATTTTAGTTTTTCTTTAATTTTCTTAATAAAATTAAACCACATTCAATTTTTTTTTGTTGATAAATTCGAATAATTTGAACAAAAAAATGGATTTTATTGTTTCGAATGTTTTTATTGATAGTTATATTTCATATAAATGAAAATATTGGTTGATATTAATGAATACTATATCACTTACATCAATTGAATTTAGTAAGATACACTACCTAATTTGTATTTTCTCTTTATTCAATGAACGAGTGAATCAATACTTCTGAGAAGTATTTCTTCTTTGTATTCACTTTTCGCTCATAAAGATTATCAGCCAATGAAATCGAAATGGGTTCAAAGAAGAAAAAGACAAGTTGTCTGTTTCTAGTAAACAGGGTGTGGGTGCGGGTGTGGGTGTGGGTGGGTGTGGGTGTGGGTGCGTGTGGGTGGGTGTGGGTGTGGGTGGGCGTGTGGGGTGTGGGGTGTGGGTATAGTTGTTGACTTAACCTACATCCACATCCACACCCACACCCACACCCACACCCACACCCCACCCACACCCACACCCACACCCACACCCACACCCACCCACATCCACACCCTTCATATTCAAGTATTCGTCATTTTTATGTGTAACATACTTTTCCCTTTAAAAGAATTTCTTAAAGAGCACTTTATTAATAATAAATGAAAGAATACAAAAATAGTTCTGTTATTTTAACACGTATTGGAGGTAATATTATATTTAACTATACCACTATTCATATACAATCGTGCATAAAAATTGCCTTTACTATCGAGCCGTATTCTCAAGGCATAATAATAATAATAAATACCTGGTACGATTGATGTAAGGGTAGACGTGCTAGGTGTCCATCGAGTAATATTATTGTTACCAGATACGTATATATTGCCTGAATTGTCGAGAGTCAAACCGATACTACCCCACCAAGACATAAGAGGTGCATGATCGAATAAATATCTACCATACTGATTTCCTTGTGAAAATGCCAAGATACGACTAAAGTACAAATGATAAATCTTTCGAAGATCAAAAACCAATCCTCAGATACTAATATGCTGCTGTTATTAAAGAAAAGGCTGCATTAGTGTGATACATAAGTTTTCAATCATATTCTCTGAATGAAAACAACCTGTGCTCAAGATCTTTAATGCCAAAACAAGAGATCTTCAGAAATATTCTTTTAGAAATTATTATTCGACATAACCCCTTGTATGATCCTTCCAAACTTCTGCTCTCAGGAAATTTTCTGCAGAGATAATTATCCAATTAGAACCATTTTGGATATCATTGTAAACGAGATTTTTCTCAATGAGCAGAACTAAAGTGTAAATCAATTAGAGTACATATATCAAGTCATTTTTTTAAACATATCTTTGAAAACTATTACTTGCTTCTAAGAAACAATTCGATATGGCTTTTCTGCATAGTATAAATTAAGATACCTTACCTATTACCTACATCTGCAACATATACAGTATAGTTTGCATCGACGAATATTCCTTGAGGATTATTCAATTGGCTCAACTGTGATCCTGATGTATTCGTAACACCTGCAACGACAGTAGCATATTGATTATTCGGTGTAATTTTGATCACGCGTTGTAGGTTGGAATCAGAACAATACATGGCACCTTGTCGATCAACAAAAATATCTACACATCCACAAAACTGATTTAGACCTGTACCACATGCCGTTTCTCCAAAGATAGTAGTACCACTAACCCAATTACTTGAATCATACTTCTGAAGACGATAATAGTTAGCGTATCCCATCATATAGTCACTCTACGTACAAAATGAATTGCGAGCTCAGGCGTAGCTATCAACAAAAATAGATGAAAAAGTTAACATACTCGACTCTCATATGTATAGATTGCTCCATTTGAGTCTACATATAGCAAATTTATAGTGAAATTTGAAGAGTTTCCAGGACCTGCGACGGGCGTTCCAGTGGAATTGTTTGGAGCAAACTTAAATATTTTTTTATTGTAGGACTCAGCCACGTAAATATTATCATTGTTATCGATAGCAAAATCATTTACTGAAAATTGATAACTACTATTCGAATATGAAGATATGATGAGTGATGCATTCTGATCCCATGTAGCATTTGAACATATTGGAGTTGATGTAGAAACTATTTGAAGTAGAAAAAAACACAATGCTAAGGTTTTTTCATAATCATGCATTTAACTTCTAATAAGTGTTCTTTTCAATTGAGGAAAATTTTACATATTATTTGTTCTTAAGCTGAGTATCAGATGAAGATCCTTATAACAGCATCATATTCTACATATCTAATCTGACTAATTTCACCTGAAAGATAAAAGAGTTACTTCCACATATTTGTTTTTGAATGAAAATATGTAGTCTACAAATTAAAATTTGAATCTAAATCCATAACTTCTCTCTGACTTCATACAAAGCTGCAAAATACTTAATGATGCAAATAGTACTGGTTCAACCTAGATTGGGTCAGTATTTCTTAATACTGTGGACAGTCGGTCAACAAATAATCGAAATGAGTGAATTGCAGGCAGAGAAACAATATCTAATCTTGATACAAATTCATTAAGCAATCATTCATACAAGACCTTCTTCAGGAGAAAGTCTACCTGAATTGGTAGAGTTCTGTGAATTGCATTGACTCGAAAGAGATAATGGCATACAGATCGACACCGAACAACAACTATTCATAACACAAACACTATTATTTGATGCACATTTTGAACCACTTGTACATGTATCAAATAAAGAACAAATCACTTGAGGAGCACATAATGTCGTATTAATCGATGTCTTGAATTTATAGCAAATTGGTGATGAAAAACAACTACCACTTCCTGAAACCACATTGTTGCAAAGATCAACTGAGCAACTCGATGAATATTTTGATGTTTGACCTGTTAAAGAAAATTTTCGATTCGGATAAGCAATCACTATATTGTTGCTTACCTTGAATGATGGGAATTGGACACAAGAAAATGGCAATAACGAGCAAAAGCATCATGATAGTCTGTTTTGTTACTGACGACTGTGAAAACCTGTTGCAGTAAATGCTCAAACAACGCGGTATAAATACGAATTTTAATGTTTTTCTTTAATTCAAATCGCGAGAAGAAATTATTTCTGTATTGATTTTGGTATTGTTGATTTAGGCCAAATAGTAACTTAAAGATCATTTGAGTATCGAAAACAGTCCTATCAAATAGTGATTCGTAGTGTTGATTTTATTTTGAATTATGAAAAGTCTTGTTTTCTTACTTCGCAGACACAGAACAAACATTGCCAAATAAGTATTCCGTATATTGACGTTACTCCTATTTCGATAGGTAAAAAGAGATATTTGATTGAATCTCTACAAGTATTACAAATGTTACCAACGTCATTTTGATTTTCGTCTAAATAATTCTTTTTCACTAGATAAAATAATTTAATAATAATATTTCGCCTTCCAGTCAGTTGAAAAATAAGTTTCCTTATAGCCGTTACATTATTATAGTGAATATATCGATCAAAATCTAAGACTGTATAGTTTCATTTTCCAGATGTTGTTACTCTTTATCAACAAGAAGCACTGTGGAATGATGTCACGAAACTCAGAAGGATCAACTCTTCAATCCTATATGAAAAAATATCAATAATAGAGAAGTGTTTATGATGCATTTGTTAATTCATCTAACGAGGGTAGCTTGGTATGCATTTTTCAAAACTGATTCTTAATATGTGCATTTCATTATAATCATTCGTCTTCTTTTTTCAAAGTATTTACTAGCTAATTGCAGCTTCTGAATCACTGAATAAGACAAAATGGTAGACGGAGCTCGATTCCATTTTATATTTTAGAGTATCATACAGTGAACATCAGTAATGAATAGTATTTCAATGTTATCATTAGCGCATTTGACATTAAAAGATCCTTTTCGAAAACTACTATACATTCTTATGTATCAGGATGTAGTTTTTAATTCCTCAAATGGTTTTATAAAGAATTTTATTTTGCAATTTAATGATGATGTTTTTCTTTAATGATTTGAGGTTAAGCAAATAAATCAGATCAACATAGAACAACTTTGCATTCTTTTTGCTTCTGCACTAATCAAATATTGTTATCGCGATAAACAAGAAAATAGGATTTGTAGCTTACATGAATCGGTTAGTTACGATTACAATCGTCGTCGTCGTCCTTTCTATCACAATGACCAAGTAATTGTTCCTTATCTTTGAAAAGATGTCCACCTCAGAACTTTATGTCTCATATTTGAACATGAAGTGAGTTTAGACTAATATATTTACTATAGTGAATATGCAGAAATGAAAATAATTACGTCTATGAATAAGCGAAAATCATCGTCTATTACCTGTATCACATCTATGACTTCTTTGATGACGATGCAAAAAATTAAATTACGTTTTTCTATTTATTCTCTATAAAATCGAATTATTATTAGAATAAATACATAGGGTAGTCAAACAGTTTTGACAACAGTTGTCTAAAACTTCATCCAAATTGGTTTCATACTAATGTTGGTCTCTTCTAGTAGCGACATATGTTATGTATTAAAATATTAAAACGAAGCTTCACAAGTGTCTATTGTGGCAAATTTTTAACCAATGTTTTGAACACTTCTGTTTTCAGATGGATAAACTGTGTTTACGGTCATATATAAAAACTTGTTTCTTATTAGGTTTAACTACTACACAAATTCATGATGAATTAATTACTGCTTTTGGGCAAACCATGCAAAAATGCGTATGCAGGATATTAATTTTAATCTTAGTTATACTCAAGAAAGAAAACCAAATTTATGGCTTATCTACTGTAGTCACTTGCCCTTAATCCTTCAGAATTTTGATTGCTCGGTTGTGTGTATTGTAATCCTGATACGTATCCAGATAATACAAGTTTAGCCAAAGCAATAACCAAGAGACTTAAATCAATACCTATTCACGAATACCAAGAGACAACTCAGAAGTGGATTGAGAAGGTGAAAATTTGTATCGAACATCATAGAGACTATTTTGAAAATTTACTGTGAATAGAATAGCAGAATGTTTTTCTTATGAATACATATTTAAAAGTGACAGAACTTTTTGACTACTCTAAGTAATGTGAAGAGTAGAAATCTATTCGATTGTAATTCAATATGTTTCAGAGGAGCCGTCAGCTTCGTCATGCTCTCAGATTGAACGTTGATGTGAAAAACTACGAAAATGTCCTGAACTTGCCTAGATGTGATAGGAAATAAAACGCGTTGAATCCGTTATTTTTTTCTTTAATATACTTATTCGTTTTGTTTTCGAAAGAAACGCTACAATATCGAAACTAAAAATCTCGAATGTGTGCATTGTTAAATGTCTATATTACAAGCAATAAAACGTATCTGTACTTGACGGACACAGGTATATATGTGCTTCGTATACAGGGTGTGGGTTGTTGGTGTGAACTGTTGGTGTGTAACTGTGGCTGTTGCTGTGTGGATGTGGATGTGGTTATGGCTATGGGCAGGGTTCTTCTCTTTATGTACACCCAGACCCACACCCACATCCACACACCCACACCCACACCCACACACCCGCACCCACACCCACACCCACACCCACCCTCATCGAATAAAAATAGAAATGAGCTACTATTAAATATAGTTGATCGAACTTTATGATAACACGTAATATGATCAAAACTATTGTTACTCATTTTCGTATTAAATATACTGTGCTTCCAATACATAGACATCGATATAATGAAGCGAAAGTGTGAGTGCAATGTCAAGAAAGAAGAAAAAAAATAGAAACCGAATAACAATCTACGTCTTTTATTCAGCTCCTCTTTTTTACTTTTTAATATGATGAAAAGAGTACATTGAACCTTATAAAGTTGATTCGCAGATATATGATGCTCGAAAAGAATATTTCATGAGGACTGTGAACAAATATTTTTTTGCAATTCCTTCATATTGAGAAATTCATTGATGACCAAGATGCTATTACTAAGATTGATATGCATTAAAAGTATATACGATGTAACAGATATTTGATTTAGATGTTTGCACATTTAAAAAAGTGGAAGATTAATCGACAAAATCAATGTTGATTTAACGAAGTTTGTCATAAGTAACGTTACTGGTACTTTAAAATACTCGATACTTCATTACTATGTCATGATGACTAAGAAAAAGCTCGATGAGTGAATTTTTGCGATGGCATCACGTGTGTCCGCTAATGTTCATCAAAAACGCATATGAACAAAAACAAAAATCAGTAGTAAGAATGTTATGATATTTTTTTCTGCTCTCGGCCTTAGTGTGGTTCTTTTCCTAGCCAAATATCTCATTCCAACGACAAGTAAATAAAGTCTCATATACTCAAATAAAGAAAGAAAGAAAAAAAATCATTCTCTATCACAAAATTCATCTCTACAGAAAATATAAAATTTGTAAAGTTTTGGTGTGTTTAAGAGAGGTTATGTAACGAAAAGCGAATTACATCGAGTTGAGAAAAGCTTCTATGACATTTGTTCACTTGTACAACGACACCGATGTACCAATCATGAAAAGTAATTAAAAACAAACATATTGAACGTTACGTCCATTTCGGATTGTGAAATAGAAATAATCAAGAATTTTGATGTAATTACATCATACGAAAATATTCATGCTTTTTCTAGTCGAAATTTCAGTCTACAAATCCTTGTTTTCTGATAATGCTGTGAGTTGAAGAGGGTATGGAGTAAAGAATTTTTTTATCTTCATTAATAGAATTATATATAAAATAAAATGAGAAGATCGTAAAGTTGTTTTCATAGCATATGCAGAACTAAATTATGGTTGTCGCCAATCGCTTCTTCTTGAAATACACTATTCTGGCAACTAGCCATTAGAGTCAACTGCTGATGTAAGTAACCATATTAAAGTTAGCGAACATAGATAACCAATGAAGAAAACTTACACTAAGAAGCTTCGTTTTTGAAAACTAATTTCTCATGATAGAAAAAAAATCATTCGATATATGATCATTATTACACATGTGTATGATAATTGTTCTTCAATAATTGTATTATTGTAACACGTTGCGACTGTGGGTGTTGTCTTTCTGTAGCCACACCCACACAAGCAAGACTCAAATTATTGAAATTTTTAAAATTATATCAACTTTGTTTCAGATATAATCAATTTAGATTATTACACATAAAAAAATGAAAAAAAGACGAAGAGAGTTTTGTCTTTCAACTGAACACTCAATTTATCTTTTTCAACTTCTGTTGTAATAAATTAGACACAGTTATTACCTTTTGTCCTTTCTTCATTGATTCTTTTATTCTAACAGACACTTCACCACTTATAAATGATGAAAATCGGTGAACAAATCATCAACTTGAAACGTCTTCTTATGCTTTTACTACTAGAGAAATCAATATTATATTGCACAATGTCAACAATTTCGGTTTAACTGATCTTTTATTCAGATCGAATATTGTATGGATGGATCAGATCAGACTAAATTTTCACAATTCAGCTTTAATTGGTGAGTCACTAGGCAAGAAACCAAGCTCGCAGTTTTGACCTATCTCAGTTAGTTGAACCTCCATTTTTCTGCTCTAATATGACTACTTCTTAGGGTATACACTACGTCTTATAATTTGGCACAAATTCTATTATAAAAAGACAGTTTTGTCAGATACTGGCTTCTCCAAATAAGACTTCGAAAATCATATTTATTTTGCTGGAGAAATTTAAGAGAAGAAAGGAAATAAATCTGCTTATGCGCTCATTCTTTTTTACAGGAAATATTCTTTCTTGATAAATATTCACCTTCGTGTCACATGTCTTTGCCAAGGAGCGCTACCTATTTAACTATTGAATCGAAGATTTGTTACTTGCGACTTTCTATCCTAATAATTTTTCTTGTTTTTGAAATAAATTATAATTCTATGCATTGTGTTGTATATATCTTTAGCAGCTGTATTAATTTGTATACTCTATTCTGATTAACTAATCCATAGATTATCTGCATGTGCTATTTGATATTATAACAAGAGCAAGAAAGCATATCGATTTTTTTTGTACAGATAGTGCATGTACAGAAAAGAAATTGGCATCAATTCTACCTAAAACCTTAACACAAAATTTGAAATCGAGATCTCCGTTTCGAGATCCATCGATGTTCTTGAACAAAGATTGACTAGTATGGTTAACAATTAAATCACTTACTAATGGCCTTGAAGATCAAAAAGTCAATTATGCAATTATTGGCGGGTTGGCCGTGTATGCACATGGTTATAAATGAACAACTCATGATTGTAAGATTTTGTTATTTAGAGCTGTAAGTATGTTTGTATTAATTAATAAGTATCTTACTGAATGTTATTATTTTCTAATTAGGATTATGAAAAATTTATGGCAAAACTTGCGAATCTTGGTCTCAAACCAAAATTCCAGAGTGCAAGAAAAAAAGTTTATTTTTACAAGTACAGAAATATCTGTTGATGTTAGTATAGAAGGAGAAGTAGGCTTTGAATGATTCAATAAGCTTGTTTGTTTTGAACTTTGTTTATTTATTTAGTATCCAGCTGATGGTTCAATTGGACCAATTTCGTTTCCGAATCCGAAAGTTTGTCAAGAAAATATTGATGATATGCAGGCAATTTCATTACCAAAATTAATCGATTTAAAATTAACATTGCACAAACGTTTGCCTACTGCTCGTATAAAAGACTAGTGATGTTGTTGAATTAATCAAAAGTTTGAACTTAAAGCACTCATTTTCAAATTTATTAGATCCTTCGGTTCGAAATAAATTTGAACAATGAATGCTTGAACTTGAAAAAGATAACCAAAAAACAACTATTAACGATGAATAATCGGCCAAATTTTTGTTATTTGGTCTTACGAGGGAACTATCCCAAGTGTTAATCACCGATCGGGTTCATATTTTGTCCATAAGTAGAACTCGATGAGACTAGAAGAACTCTAAAAGAGTTCATCCCCATACGTTGTCTTTCTTGAGTTATGACCGTTTTACTGAATTTTCGGCCTATGGCAAGGCATATATAAAAACATGGAATTGCAGAATTTTGACCTGAAATTTTGCCAATAGATAGGTCTCATAGTCATTCGATAGTCCTAAAAATTTCAGCGCAAAAGAATGTGCTGTTCTTGAGATATTGGACATACAAAAAGTGATCATGTGTTACAACGAAAGTTCAGAAAATTAACGATCTTCAACACTCGATATTCCACGAATAGCATATTCTTTTGGGCTGAAATTTTTAGGACTATCGAATGACTATG